ACCCCCACTCCTGCTCCCCCCACCGACCATGAGCTGTGTACCTGCAGACCCTCCACCCCCTACCTCCACCCCACCGACCTGGTGTCCAGCTCCCAGTCTGAGCAAGGGCACTCTGGCAGCCCACTGTCCACACCAACCTTCATATGCACTTCTCCCTTCTTCCATCCCGGGGAGGAAGAGGCTCGGGGCCATTTTCCACTCCTCATCTTCTTCCTGGTCAGAGCAGAAGAGTAAGTGTGTGAATGACAGGCAGGCTCACTGGTGCAAGGCAACTGTCAGAGGAGCGTCTGTCAGTGTGAGGTGCACTGAGATGAGTACAACCCACAGTGACCCTATAAACCCCGTTCTATCCTGTGCCAAGTCAGCTCAGCTCACAGTAACCACGCACAACACAGCGAAGCCAAGCCCGGGCCCGGTACACGATGCCCGCACTGCTCGAGCCAAAGTCACCGTCACTGTGTGGGTCCATCTCACCGAGGGGCTTCTCCCGGGCACTGTGTGGGTCCATCTCTCCTGGTCACTATGTGGGTCCATCTCTCCTGGTCACTGTGCGGGTCCGTCTCACCGAGGGGCTTCTCCTGTCACTGACCCTCCACTTGTCCAAGCATGAATTCCTCCCCCACAGCCGGGTTCCTCCCCACCACGTGCCCTCAGTCTGTGGCACAAAGCCCCAGCAGCCTCATTTCCGAGGACCTTCCTGGCTGCACTTCTTCACAGACGTGCTTATCCTCCTGGTAACCTCCAGCACAGCCGCTACCGCTCACCGGCACCACAAACATGAGGGCGTCACGGTCACTATGCAGTAACTGCTGTAAGCGGGCGCTCTGGTGGTGCAGTGCTGAGGAGTTGCACGGCAACCCCAAAGCACGCAGTTCGAATCCAGCTGCCACTCCCTGGGGGATGATGGGCAGTCTCCTCCCGTCGTTAACTGCCTCTGAAAATCAGCTGGAGGGTCAGCTACGAATTGGCTCTGATCTGATGGTGCACAACAGCCACCAAAACAAGAATATAAAGTGCATTGGTGGCACAAGGGTTAAAATGCTTGGCTGCTAACCAAAAGGTCAGCGGTTCAAACCCACCAGCTACTGTCTGGGAGGAAGCTGAGGCGGTGTATGGCAGCGTAAGGATGGCCGCCTTCGGAGCACTCCGGGCAGCTCAGCTACATCCTGCAGGGTCACTGGGAGGCAGATCTGAGCCGACAGCAGGGGTCCGCTTATCCATTTGGGGGGTGGTGCAGCGGTTAAGTGCTTGGCTGCAGTGTGAACCTAGGACCTGGAAACCAGCTCCTGTGTAGATGGCTGCCTAGGGAACCTGACAGGCAGCTCTGCTCTGCCGTACGGGGTGGCCGGGAGTCGGGATCACTCGACAGCACTGAATGGTAATGAATACAGGCTCCCTTTCCCAGGTTTTTGGCTAACTGTTGTAAAATAGATATCACAGAGCACTTGCCATTTCAGCCATTGTTAAGTGCACAGTTCTGTACATGAATGACAGTCACCATGCTACCCACCATCACCCCACCCATTTCCAAAGGCTTTTAATTCACCTAAACAGACACATGGTAAGCCTTCAACCACACACACAAACGCGGAGCGTCTGATTTCATCTTCAGTTGTTCTCTTATGCACACAAAACCTAAACAATGACTAAGGAAAGCCGAGATAAACAGATGCCTCTGAATCATGGGATTGGTGAAGACTGTTGGCCACACCATGGACAGACAGAAGGGAGAAGTCTGTCCTGGATGAAGAGCCAGAGCGCTCCGTGGAAGCCAGGATGGGAGAGTTGGTCTCACACACTCTGGACGTGTCATCAGCAGAGACCAGCACTTGAAAGACAAGAGTCTTGGTAAAGATCAACCCTCAGGCGAACCCCGGCTCTGGGTCTCAGTCCCCTCCAGCGGGCTTTCCACACGGCAGATCTTCACGGGAGGACACTGACTTGCCTGCTCTGTGCCCGATGGGTTTGCACCACCAGCCCTGCACTGTGCCATCAGGCTCTTCGGCAGAGTGGAGCTCTGGTCAGTGAGGGAGAAACTCCCTCAGAAGGAGGCCGGGCAGAGCAGCTGTGATGGGGTCCAGGTCAGCAGAGGCTTTAGGGACGGTGCCATGTTTCGTTTGGCTTTAGATGGGGTTACTAGAGTCACGGCCGCCCTGAAGGCAGCCCCATGGCCTTGTGGGCAGGGAGCTGCATGGCTGACAAAGTCTGCACCTCTCTGGGGGTTCAAATCCACCATTTGCTCCATGGGCCAAAGATGGGCCATCTTCTCTCATGTGATGTACGGCCCCTAAAACCCTGCTGGAGGGACAGCTAAGAGTGATTCCGACTCGACAGGAATGTGTGAGATGAGTGAACAGCAACGAGTAATGTCCAGAGCAGGTGAAAACACAGATGCAGGGCCTGGAGGGAAGGTGGGAGGGGGGAGGGAGGAGGAGGAGGAAGGAGAGGGAAGAGAGGAAGGGGGAAAGAAGGAGGGGGAAGGAAGGGAAAGGGAGGAGGAAGAGAGGAGAGGGAGGTGGAGGTAGAGAAGGGGAAGGAGGGGGAGGAGGAGGGCAGAGGAGGGAGGAACGGAGAGGAGGGAGAGGGGAGGAGGGAGAGAGAAGGAAGGGAGGGGAGAGGAAGAAGATGGTGGGGTAGGAATGGGAGGAAGGGGAAGAAGGGGAGGAAGAAGAGGGTGAGGAAAGGAAGAAGAGCAGTGTGGGGGTAAAGAGAAGGGAGGGGAGAAGAGAGAGGAGCGGGAAGAGAAGGGGAAGGGTGGGGGGAGGAGGCATAGGATGTGGAGGAGGGGGAGTGAGGGGGGGTGAGGCGGGTGGGGAGGGGGGGGGGGAGGGGGCATGGGAGGGGGAGGGGGGGGGGTGGGGGGGAGGAGGAGGAGGGGAAGGAGGAGGGGTGTGAATGGCAGCAGGGGGAGTGAGGAAGAGTGGGAGGAAGCTGAGTGGGAGGAGGAGGGGGAGGAGGAGGGGAGGAAGGGGGAGGCAGGGAGCACGGGTGAGGGCGGCACTGAGGGTCTGCGTCAGAGGCCGCGGCAGCTGCCCGTGTGGCCTGAGCTGGTGATGGTGTCAGCACAGCAGGTGAGGGGTGTCACTGCACAGGCCCCTCCAACAGGCTTCTGTGTCAGAGAGGCTTTACTGGAGGAGCCTGTCACACGTCTCCCTCCCAAGAGCATCTCCACGCCCTCATTCTGGTGACATTCTCTGGATAGAAATGACAGTCACCTCTTTATCCGCGTGCGTCAGTCTGAAACGACAGGAGGACACGGCTGCCCATGGACCACAGACTTGAGCCGAGGGAGTCGGCCAGTGGGGCCGTGGTGAGAGGCTGAGCGCAGGCTCCGGGGTCTCCAGGGCGGACTCCACTGAGGCGGGTCGTTTCACGGCTGGATCCACTTCAGAGGAGTCACATCCCGTGGTCGTGTGCCACAGACGAATCAACACCTTCCTAAGCAGTTCCACATGGCGGCAGCTGATGGAGGAGGAGACAGGCCGTGCAGAGCGAGGGGCCCCTGGCGGCCCTGTGCACTTGTTGTTTTTGTTGCTGTTGGTTTTTTTTCCAATACTGAGGCAGGTCCACACCACTGGCTTCGGGGCAGAGGGAAATTACTGGGATGCTGGAGCCACGCCGTTAGACCTTCGGTCTGTGGAAAATGCCTCTTGGCGTTTTAGTTCTCTGATCCTTAGAAATGAGGGCGCAGAGGCTTCTTCTCACGTCCTGTGGGTGTGTTGTCAGAAGGAGCTGGTCCTTGGAAAAGACATCACGCAGGGACAGGAGGAGGGTCCGTGAGAGAGGAAGCCCCTCGGTGAGACGGACTGACACAGTGACACTGGGCTTGAGCCTGCCCGGGGCTGGAGTCGGACAGGGCAAGGCTCTGCTGCGTTGTCCACAGGGTCACCAACAGGGTCACCAGGAGTCATAGACTTGACGGCCCTGAACGACAGCAGTGAGCTCTGGTGACGTGGCCTGGATGCTGCTCCTTTACCATCTGAGCAGCCATCCATCTCCGGTGCTTCAGATCCCCCAGCTGCTCCCTGGCAGACACGTGGACAGTCTCCTCCCACGAAGGGTTCAGCCTCAGAAATCGGTGATGGTCACTGTGAGTTAGAACCCACTTGAAAGCCTTGAGTTCGAGGTTGTTTTTTTGCTTCGAATGCTCATTTGTAGCTATTTCATGGTTTCCAAAGTTTCCAGGTTTCTGCATTTGTGCTGTTTGGGAGAAAATCCCCCGGTTTTCTATTTGCAGAGGCCGCTGGCATGGTCGGATAACCCCGTAAGATTTTCCCCCACCTCGATTCTTGCTTCTCTTCATGGGGCTGATGTTTGGTGGTTGTCCAGCTGTTGTGAATACACCACAGTTTCATCTGGGGCTGTGGGAAGTGACGGGGTGACTCAGCACCCACGCACGCTAACTGGGACTGGCTACACTCTTCCGTCCTGCCGGGTCTTCTGACCAGGGAGGGTAACGACCAGACAAAATGCAAACCCAGACCTCGTGCTGTCAGGAAATGACTGTTCTCCACAGAGTTCTCAGTGCGGTCATCTGTGGATGCAGGTCACCAGGCCTTCCCTCAGTGGCACTGCTGGGTGGAGCTGACCTGCCGTCCTTTCCCTGCCTACCAAGCATTAGCCTCACGTTCCACCCTTGGACCACCGAGGTGGCTGCTTCTGCAGGTCAAGCCACCATTCCACACTCAAGGGCTTCAGTGTAGCTGGTCTCTGTCATGGTCCAGCTGGTTCTGGGACGAGTCCAGGACAAGACTGCCAGGCAGTGGAGAAGAGAACAGGACTCAAGGACAAACACCATTTATCTTGATGAGTGATTATGAAAGAGGGCCCTTTTCCGCTGAATAATGCCACCTCCCTTTCAGATCTTTTACTGAATGAACTGGAAGAATCAAAGGCAGGCAGTTCAAATCCACCAGCTACTCCTTGGGAGAAAGGTGGGCAATCTCCTTCTCTAAAAACCACCAGTGTGTCAGGCACGAGTCGGTCAGGCTCAACGGCAAAGAGAGAGTGACTGTCCCCTCTGTGGGTGACTCATCAACGCTCATCTGCTCAAACTTTGTTTTTCTGGCCAAACAGCTCATTATTCAGTAGCTTGTTCTAGTGAGTTAATAAAACGCCCCTGTATCACAAAGCTCGACTGTGCAGCCAAGCGTTCCAGGCTGTGGGCGTGAGCACTCACGCTGAATTTGTAATTTGCACGTGCAGATTCCCCTCCTCTTATTGAGGGGAAGGGAGGTGGGGAGGACATTGGAAATTCTCCCCGCACTCCTTGCTCTCTGGTATCTCTTCAAAATCAGCTTGCAGAGAGAGAAGAGGTTTTTTATAAATAACCGCTGAGGAGGCTATCTTTTCTTCCTTTTTTTATTCTGCTGTGAGTTAGAACTCATTCAGACTTCTAGTCTCCTAAACCGGGAGAGAATGACGCTCTGTTCCTTAAAGCCACCTCTGTGGGCATCTCTGTTACAGCTGCATGAGGTAACAGCTGTCTAGATGGAGGTCCATTGGCCACCAAGGGGTCAAAAGGAGAGATCACAGGGACCCTGTGTGTGTACCCTCCAAAGCGGTGAGAGGCCCCAACACCCCCAGACTCCTGGTGCTGGTGTGTCCAAGGAGCCTCATGCTTCACAGACTCTCAATGGTCAGTTTATTATGTGAGCACCACCAGGTCTCTTCAGTGTGTCACCAATTGGACTTGAACCTCCAAACTTTTGGTTAGCAGCCAAGTGCGTGAACTATTTTCACATAAAGGCACTCTCGGGAGAAGGTAACCAGAGCTAAACCCACTTCTGGCGGGCTGATTCCAACTCAGAGGGACCCCCATTGGGTTTCTAGGGCAGTAAATCCTCATGAGAGGAAGCAGGGTACCATTCTTCCTCAGAGCGGCTGGTGGATTTGAACACCTGTCCTTTCGGCAGCTACCTAACATGTAACCCACTATGGCAACAGGGCTGGGTGGTGGAAGACACAAATGCCTTGAAGTCCTTACCCTAGGGACCACCAGCTGGTGGCCCCACCCTCGCCCTTCTGTCAACTTGGCTTTCCTTGGGACGATGAGATATCTAGAGCCATTAAAAGAGCTTTAAGATGCCATGATCAATGAACAATCTTGATGTTAAAGTCACTATGCCTTTAAGCTTCAGTGCTGGAGAAGAGTGTTGAATATACCATGGACTGCTAGGAGAACAAACAAGTTCGTCCTGGAGAGGGTGAAGCCAGGCTGCTCCTTGGAGGCAAGGATTCTGAAGCTCTGTCTGACGTACTTTGGACATGTTGAAAGACAAGATCAGTATTTGGTGAGGGACGTCATGCTTGGGAGGGTGGAGGGCCAATGCAGGAGATGAAGCCTCTGGATAAGAAGGATTGATTCTGTCATTGGGTTAATCGGGATGGGCATGTCGGAGACAATAAGATTGGTACAGGACAGAGCAGGGTTTAGGGCTATAGTACATAGGGTTGTTATGAGTCGCACACAACTCAATGGTATATAACAACCACCACCACCACCACCATTTGTGTTTGCCACTGGTTCCTGCCTTGCCAAGAGCTCCCTGAACTCCATCTCTGAGAAACTCTGTATCTGAGGAGTGAAACACGATCACATAATAAGAGAAGCATGGGAAGTGCGTGTGTCGTGGAAACCACCACTCATCTCAACAGAGATTCACGGGTCAGGGAGAAGCTGGCCAGCGTGGTCGGTCAGCACAAAGCAGTACGATGGATGGCAGTGAAGCTGTACCACAGATACAAAGCAAACCATGCCACCAAAAATAAAAAATAAAAAAGGAGCGGTCATCTGAGAGTCAGCGCTTGGTCGCTCCCTGCGTGGACCAAAGGGGAGTGAAGGATGTCAGGGACCCATGGGGACAGTTAGCTCGCCCCACCTGGCCCTCCATCCCCGAGACCACAAGAGCCCCCTGGGATCACAGTGGAAGGGCCACTGGGGCAGAGCAGCAGAGAAACCCACAACAAAACTCAAAATCACAGAAATGGCCAGGCCTGCTCGTCTGACCAGAACTGGTGGGACCCACAAGACTAGGGCCTCTGGTCACTCAGGCCTGGAGCTCCACTCATCCACGTGATATAATTTTCAGCCAAACACTAGACAAGCTCACAAGGTGAAGAGGCGCGCTCCCCTTCGAAGAATCATCCTGCAGGACTTACAGGGCAGTCTGGCCCAGGGGAGGACGGTCAGAGGGCAGGCAGGATGGAACGACGAGTGTGAACAAGGTCCATGGGGAGGAAGCAGGGAGGTGGAGTTAGGCAGGCGTTGTAATGAATACTGCAAAATCCAAGGCTTTGAACGGTTGATTAAACGGCTTTCTGTGTCATTCTTTACTAAAAGTATTATAAGGCAAAGAGGGAAAACACACCCACCCACCAACAGGAGTTCTTTACCTTGACTTGTTCTTTTATAACTTTCTCTTCCTTTCCTTTTCGGTCTTTCGGAGGCTTCTTCTGTTTCTTTTCCTTCTTCTTCTTGTCCTTTTCATCCTCGTCCTGGCTCTCAATAATGTTGGCAATCACCTGGTAAAGACAAAAATCAGGGGACGTGTTAGTAAATCCCATCCAAGGTGACCTTTTCCTCTGATGTCTGGAAGGATTATTTGTGCTTGTGGACTTCGCTCTGCCTGTTCTGGGTCCCGGAAGGATCCCATGGACATTGCTGGGCTCCCCATGTGGCATCTGCATGTGTGGGGACCCTGTAGCAAGAGGCAGCAGCAGGACATTGGTGGGGGGAGAGGCCGCTCCCTCTGTCACTCTGAGCTGCGTGCTTTACCGGCACCGTCAATGTTGTGGAAGCACATTTTACCATCCATGACATCATCCACGAGTTTTGGGACAAGCTCTGGCCTGAGGTCCAAGCGTGGCCTGTCACCTCTTGTCTTTGATGTAACAGACACACAAGCGTCGAGGACTCTCCTTCATAGGGTCGCTATGAGTCGCCTGCCACTCGACGGCACTTAACAACAACAACAACAACTATAAAGTGATATATTTTATAGACCTTTTGTTCTACCCCTTTCATATACCACTGAATGTTTTTTAGAAAAGTGACCTGGTGGTGACACCATCACTGTGCATCCGTGTTAGAATATTTCCGTCACCTCAGCTTCCCTCCTGTCGGTGCCCTTTCCACCCAGCCCTCCATCCCAAGCAACCCAGGAATCCACCTCCTGTTTCTATCAACAGACTGGCTTTTCTGGACGTCTCTGATGAATGGAGTCATGTGATTCCGGGCTCCTGTCCTTCATGGCTCATCCTTGGTGTTTCTGAGGTTCATTTATACTGTAGCAGTGTGCCAGTATTTGCTGTCTAAATGCTGGCTAATACTCCATTGTTCATCAGTCACTGGGCGTTTATCGCTGCTGTAAGGTTTTCAAGTCAGCTCCGACTCACAGCTTCCCACAGTAAAGGGGGGTGCCTGCTCGATCCTGTACAGCCTTGCCCCCCTGCTGTACTTAACCCCCGCTGTCATCACCGTATCAAACCATCTCACTGAGGGTCTTCCTCCGTCTTTCACTAATGCTGTCTGGCTGTTACAAACGTTTGATTACTAGTAATAATGCAGGTGTGAATAGCCACATGCAAGTGGCGAACGTGTGTTTGTGTGTGTGTGTTCACAGTGCACAGTGTACTAGCTGTTGCCCAAAGGGTTGGCAGTTTGAATCCACCACCCCCTCCACGGGAGCTGGAGGGCAGCCTCCTGGAGAGATTCACAGCTTCAGACATCAAAGGTTAGCCTGCATTGACTCAGTGGCCCTGGATTGTCAGTTCTCCAAGGAACAGAACTGCTAAGCTATGTGGCAATTTTGCATAGAATTTAAAAATAAAAACAAACTTCCCACTCTGCGTTTCAAACACACTGCCCATTTGTACCACAGGCAATACTTACGGATTCCCTTTTTCCAACACTCTAAACAACACTTGCTCTGCCTGTGGTTTTGTTATAACTGCTCTGATGCGATGTGACATGGTATCTCGTGTGGGCTCACTTGTCACTCCTTGTTGACTGACAAGCGACGCTGGAGGAGCAGTGGGTAAGCATTTGGTTGTGAACTGACAGGTCAGTGGTTTGAACCCACCACCTCTTCCATGGGAGGAAGCTAATGTAGACTGCTGCTCTAAGTCCTCACAGCCTTGGAAGCCCTGGGGGCAGCTCCACAGGCCCAGTCCTGTCACTAAGAATTGGAAATAGTTGCAAATAGAGATACCATTTGAGACAGCAATTCCACTACTGGGAATATATCCCAAAGAGACCATAACTGACATCCAAGCAGATATATGCACATGTTTATTGCGGCTTTGTTCACAATAGCAAGGAGTTGGAAACAACCTAAGTGCCCATCAACAAATGAATGGATAGAGAAGCTGTGGTATATTCATACAATGGAATACTACGCTGCATTTAAAAACAAGGAACTCATGCAATATTATTCAAAATGGGTGAGCCTGGAGGACATTATGCTGAGTGAAATATCTTAGTCACAAAAGGACAAATACTGCATGGTGCCACTGCTGTAAAATGGGACTGATATCAGGGTGGGGGTAAGACTGAGAAAAACTGGATAAATTGTGTATACTGCACTGAAACAGATGAGAGAGAGAATACTTTAAAAGCGATGTATGATAGGGTATTATGTTTATCACAGGAGTCCACAATTAAGGTTGCATAGTGGAATGTACTTGGGGTGGAGGAGGGGTGCGAGGGGATTGTGTACCAGGGAGAGAGTGTTTCTTTTACTTTTGAAAGAGAGGAGTGAACTGGTGGGGGGGTCAGGGCTGGGTGGGGAGAGAAGTGCAGCAATGAATAAATGGAAATCCAAATTCTCTGTAAATTTTCATTAAAATTATTTAAAAAAAAAAAAAAAAAGAATTGGGATTGACTTGACAGCCAGTTTGGAAGTTGGCCACAGGCTGGAGCCAATTGCAGGGCGGTGGGTTGGGTTTCACTCGGCTTGAAGATCGTGTAAAGGAAGAAAGGAGTTGTGGGGTTTTGTTTGCTTGTTGATGAATAAGGACAGTCGCACAATCTCCACATGCTTATTAACGACACGTGCCTCTCCCCCGGAGAACTGCTGGTTCGAGTCTTCTGCCCCCTGTTAGATCGGCTGCTTGTCTTAGACCACTGTAGCGTAAGCCTTCTTGGCATGTTCCGGAGAGGAGTTGTTTACCAGGTGCTCGCTCCACAAAGAACTTCACCCAATCTGCTGGCTTGAGTTTCCAATTCCCCAATGGAATCTCAAGGCATTTTATGAGGTCCAGTTTATCTACTTTTTTTTTTTTCAGTGTAGTTTTAATCTGCATTTCCTTCCATATGTTGAGCATGTTTTAGCCTGTTTCAAATGCAGCTGGACTTTCTTTTCTGAGAACTAATTACGTAGCCTTTGGCTGTTTGGACGGAGTTCTGATCTGCTCTCTACATCTAGCTGCAGGAGTTCTTTATAGATAAGGAAAAGTGACCTCCTTACTGATATGGTCGTTACAGAGAACTCTCTTGGCACCACATGCCATTTGACTTCAATCGGGTCATTTTTATCATGCAAGTTTTATTTTTTTTTTCCTCTAATTGGATTTACCAATTTCTCTCTGGCTTCTCGGACTGTGCACCATAATAAGAAAGGTCATTCCCACTTTGAGGTTGTAAAAGACTTCTTTTGTGTTCTGTTTAGTTTTATTTGTTACATTTAAATCTTTGAGCCATTTGGATCATTCTAGGCTTAACTATAAAGAGGCCAACGCCTAACTCCCCTTTGTCAGATGATGGTCAGTGGTTCCACTAACCTCATTAAGTGACCTTTCCTCTCACATTATATCTGAGCCCAAAGTCAGACCCATCCTCCCGCCCTGGAGTTGGTTCTGACTCAGGACCAACTTCCATCTTTGAGGCTCTGCGGCTGTGAATATTTACACCCAGTGTTCCCCTGCACAGCGGCTGGTGGCTTTGAACTGCTGATCCTTCCATGAACAGCCGAGGACATAGTATACTTTACTCCCAGGGCTCATGCACCGGAGAAGAGAGAGGTCGCCCTTCTAACACTAACTTCCTATGTGTCCCTGGGCATGTGTCAAGACTGGCTATTCTTTTTCATTAAACATCTTTCTATCCATCTGCCTACAATGGCTTATTTTAATCTTCGGGCTCTTAGAACATGCTTCAGTGCCCGGCAGCCCTCCTTCCTCCTTTGCGTCCTTTGATTTCATACCTTCACTGGTTATGCCAGCTAATTTTCTTTCTCTGCAGAGTTGGGACCAGCCTGTCTTATCCACACCGTCCTGACCCCCACAGCACTGCCACCTGGCTTGAGGGACGTTTACTGACGGAGCTGGCCAGAGCTGACATGTCTGCGGTGGAGAGAATTTCTACCTAAGAATACAGCCTGCCTTGCCGTCCGCTCAGCTTCTCACTGGCATCCGTAGAAGCAGCTTAAACTGTTCTTCACATAAAACCAAGCGGCAAACCCGTTGTCGCCAGGGGGTCGGTTCTGACTGAGAGTGACCGGGAGGATGGGGCAGGACTGCCCATCGGATTGCCAGGGCTGAAATGTTTATGCAAGCCGAGTGCCTCGTCTCACCCTGTGCACTCACTAGTGGGTGGGAACTGCTGACGCTGGTCACACCCAGGGGGACCACCAGGGCCCCTTTCTCTTCACAAAGATGTGCACCTACTAAGGTCACTCCCACCTAGTTGACTCACGTGGTGGTGTTGCTATTCCAAGGGGGCTCTTCAATTACAGCTTCTCGGGCTGTGGCTCATACATGCAAGTCACTGCTTTCTGTGTACTAACCTGGTGACTTCATCAAACCACTATTTTAGTGGGTTGGTTGTTTTATTTAAGTGATGCAAGTGAGATCAGCCTTGATGGTAAACACAGACATTAAAATTCCCAAGTTGGACATTTTTGCTTTTTGTCTGGTTTTGTGCTCTCATTTAAACTGTTTTCTCATCATTCATCGGACATCCCCGGGATGCTTACACTCACCCACAACATACCAAACATGTAGTTCTAGAAGGTCACATTTTTAAAAAATAGACTAATGTACAAAGTTTATTCTTTATCTAGGTTAAAAAAAACCCAAAAACACTGAAAGGGTATAATGAGGATATTCACAGAATGTAGGAGATCATCTGTCCATTTTCTAGATCCATGACACGACTGTATTTGTCCACTTTGTTGTTGTTGTTATGTGCCGTCGAGTCGTTTGCGACTCATAGCAACCCTACGTACAACAGCCCTAAACTCTGCTCTGTCCTGTGCCAATCACACCGTCTCTGATACACCCATCCCGATTACACCAGTCACTGAATCAATCCACCTCATAGAGGGCCGTCCCCTCCTGCGCTGTCCCTCCACCCTCCCAAGCATGATGTCCATCTCCAAGGACAGGACCCTCCTTACAACATGTCCAAAGTATGTTAGACGGAGCCTCAGAATCCTTGTCTCCAAGGAGCCACCCGGTTTAACCCTTTCCAGGATGAATCTGTTTGTTTTCCTGGCAGTCCATGGTACCCTCAGTACTCTTCT